ACTCTTTCCAAGTGCCTGAGTTGTAGTGAGGTGGGTGTTGGTCTCTTCTCCCAAGTGACAAGAGATAGGACAAGAGGAAATGGCCTCAAGTTGTGCCAGGGGAGGTTTAGTTTGGATATTAGGAAAAATTTCTTCACCGAAAGGGTTATCAAGCATTGGAAGCAGGCTTCCCAGGCAAGTGGTTGAATCACCATCAGTGGATGTATTTAAAAGACATGTCAATGTGATGCTTAGGGGCATGGTTATTAGCAGCATTAGGTTAACAGTTGAACTTGATGATCTTAAAGGTCTTTTCAAACCTAAACAATTCTATGGTTCTATGATTCTATATTTCTCATCATTTATGGTGTCAGAAACTTATTTGGGAAAAGCTCAAAATTATTTGAAGAATATAGACTCTCTGGGCCAGACTTCTTTCTCTAACCTTTTCTCTGCAGAAGGATGTGGCTTCCCATGGCTTTCAAGTAATTCCTCATGCATATCATTCTGTAGTTGTGACTTTTGGTTACTTCTTTCTCTCATTGCTACATGGACCTTGGGTATCACTGTGAAGTGTACTCCATTCTAGTGCTTTTGAATTAATGGGCTTGGATTTTTGAGCTTTATGTTTTACCCAGTATAAACCAGTGGATCTGCAGTTAAAGTAACTGCTTTTGCTGGAGCTGGGTCTGAACTGATTCCTTCATTGCCTTTTGACCTGACAAGGCCACTTCCTCTTCAGATTTGCTGAATGTGGCTTATGTGAGTCTAATAATCTATTCCTGTCCCTGCACCCAGCAGTTTTGCATTTCAGTGCATGAACCACTTGGAATCCTGTTCCCTGAGTAAGGAGATGTACTTCCTTATGGAAATCACTGGCATGTAAACCACAAGTGGTCATCTTTTCTGCCTCTGCTATCTGAAGTAATCAGCTCAGTCTAGATGGTTTTTAAAGATTTTTGGCTACCCTATTCATAAAAATATCTACAATCTCCCTAGATAATCTACTTCAGTGATTAACTACAGTAATAGTTAGAAAGCTTTACCTCACATTTCACATGAGTGTTTCTTCAGGCTAATGAAGCTATTTTCTTATTTTC